ATCAAACAGTTGTTGTCTTTCGTTCCGCGAAATACGAAGCAATTGATTTGCTTTTAACTTTTCTTGCATTAAAGAAATAACGACATAACATATAGCGAAAAGATCAAAAACACGTAAACTCTCCAAGTCCGACACATCTTCAACTCTTTGCCAACGTTTTAAACGAACTACCTCTAATAACGGATTTACGTGTTGTCGAAAAGACCAAGGCAACTTTTGAAACAAAAATTCCAAACTCTCTTTTGTATTTAAAAAAAACATGCTTGATTCTCTCAAAACGTTGCCTTGAGTATCGTAACCAAAAATTTCAGCGCTCAACTTTTCATTCGTACAAAAAAGAGTCACACTGTGACAATAATAAAATAATTGTCCGTCGCGTGTTTCAGTTTCACAATCAAACGTGATATACAAAGGAAAACAGTTGCGAGATTGATGGAAAAGAACTTGTTGAGGTTCGTAAAAACGCTTTTTTAGCGGATAAACAAGTTTGTTGTCTTTATAAAATCCTGCACATGTTCGATGCGCTCTATGATTATCATAACAATTTTGACAAAAATCACATACATTACCCTGCAAGGCATTTTCAAATCGATATTGAAAGCGTTTAGTTAGTAAGGAAACGCAATGCGTGCCTTTTTTGTTATCTAGCAACATTAATTGAATAGTATTTTGTCGTTTTAAATTTTCGTTACTTTCTACTCGCTCTATTTCGTTTGCAAACACACGATGTGGATTATGATCATCGCGAAAGATTTTTTTACTTTCATAAAGTTTTGTAAAGCGTTTATAGGCTACACGTTGAAAACGATTTCTTTTCTCAAATTTTAAATGAACCCTCACCGGTTTAGGTAACCACTTGAAAATGACCAAGTTAAATTTGTTTAAAACCGACCGTTCACTTATTTCATCTAAAAGAATAGGTAAACCTTCATAACTTATATTAAAACTTCTTATTTTTAACCATTTCAGTTGTTCTTTTATGTCTAGGCAATCGTTTGTTGCATATTCTATAAGTCGTTCTTCATCTAAACTTTCCTGCCAATCGTTAGGGGAAAACCATTGCTTCTTAATTTGCACCAACGATACTAAAAAACTCATATAGAAACAACTACCTTTTTCTACCATATACGAATAGTCGATACATGTGTTTCTCAATTCAAATTTATTAATGTACGACGGACAAAAACGAAACAATTCTGCTTGATTTTTCTTTTTTAGAAAACGACTTACAAAGACAAGCGATCGTCGACTTAACGGATCATCTTCGTATTGTTTTTGTCGACTTAACGGATCATATTGTATTCGTTTGAGATATTGTTGAACCATTTTTAAATTACGTTTTGATAACGGATTGTCACACAAAGCCTTGTTTCGATAATCATACTTTTTTATTTTATGCCAAAGGGTATCGCGTGCGCCAATAATGGAATTTCTTAACAAGACAAATCGTTCAGTACTCATTCCACCGATGATTTGCGCTTGAAATTGAGATAAATTATATAAAACAAATCCGCTGTCTATATGAGAAACATGACGGCTCCCTTCTACATTAACATGCACTAGTTCTTCAATTTTTTTAGAAATTTCCATTGTTCGAACATAATGCACTGGAGATCTAAATATTGGTTTTACAAGACGATATCCGTCCGGTTGTGACCGATAAAACATGACCACTGACACAAAACCAACTAAAAAATTCCGACTTTCTGGCATCTGTCTCTTAGTTCTGCTCATTTCTTTTAAAATAACATTTCTTGTTTTGTTTTCGATAAACACACGGACGTCGTCCCACGTCATTTGATCAGAAACAATTAAATCATCGAGGCCGCTTTCATCCGAATAACGTTTCGATGTCCATAAAATTTTTTTATAATACACATCATTATTGTATTTTTCTTCGCTGATTTCTTTTTTAAATTTCATTTTTTACTATAAAAAAAATTTTTTTATTGAACAAATATATATATATATAAAAATAAAAACTTATTTTTTTCACTAAGTAAACCAATTTATTTCAATCTTAATAATCATTATAAAAAAAAATTTTTTTAAAAATTCTTACACGTTTTTTTCTTCTGTAATAAACTTTTTTTACAATGTATTTTTATTGTTTTTTATACAATTATATTCTTTGCATACAGTCAGTTGAACCGAATCCACCAATTCCTCTTCCTGTGCTTGTTAACTCCTCTTCTGGAACAACAATGAAAAGTTGTGGCGAAAAACATTGCAAAAATACTAATTGAGCTATAGCTAAATCTGTTTTAATTACAAACTCACGGTCGTTATTGTTCTTTAACAAAACACAAATTTCTCCGCAATAATCGCTATCAATAACGCCACCTTCTACTGTTATATTTTGAGCAGCTAATGATGATCTCGATAACAATTGTCCATAATACCCGACAGGAATTTGCATTCGAATACCAGTAGGCACTTTAACAGTTGCTCGCTTTAATAAATACACGTCTTCCATAGCAAAAATGTCAAAACCAGCGCTACCTTGTGTAGCTCGTATTGGCATTTTCGCCGACCCTTTCAATGACATAAACATTTTTTTAGTTTTTTTTTCTATAAAAAAAAAGTTTTTTTAAAAAATTAATAAAAAAAGTTATATTTTATTATGGTTTTTTTTGTTAAAAAAAGTTATATTTGATATATACAAAAAAAAAATTTAATAAAAAAATATTTTTTTCAATTAAATTGCAAATACATGTAACGTAGATTAGGCATATTTAAAATATCAGTCAAAGATATATCTTTATAGCTTCGTAATCTACAATGTTTGTTATGATGTTTTGTATCTTCTATTTGACAATCATCAAGGTAACAATTAGCACGCACTAAAAAATTATTAAATAATTCAATCATATCATAATGAAAGCGCTCTTCTTCCAAATCAGTAGGCGACAAGAAACTAGTTGTTAATAACTCATAATGGGACTTTTTTTTAAATAAATTTGCTGCAGATAAATGTAACGAAATATCAACCATAACTTTTCATATTTGTAATACGCTGTTGGACGCACATAAAATGCTTTTCGATGCGAAAACGCAGTAGAAGCTTTTTGTAATTTTGTAAAAATCGAATGGTTTAAGGATTCCCAAGTGGGCGCAAATAAATTAGTTAAAGTAAAATACGGACTCGGTGCTCTCACTTTTTCCAAACTGCAATCTAACTGTTCAACATCTTCATAACTCATTTTACCGTACAAAAAATACTTCAAAATACGACATTGTTTTAACAAAGCTAGTGATATATATTGAACATAGTATTCCATGTGTTCTTCCATCTCTGCATTTCGTTCGCAAGTTATCAATTGTTTTACGTAAATCCAGTCTTCATGAATATCGCGTATATCATGAATATCCGTATCGTGTCGACAATTCAATATAAAATCTTTTATAAAACAAAATAATATTTGCAATACTTAAAAATTATTTAAACCTAATTTTTTTAAGAGAAACAATAATATATATTGGCTATAACAAAAAAGATTAGCAAATAAAAAAAAAACTTGCTGTTTTTTCAAGGCTTTTTTTAAAAAAAACGCTTTATTATTCAAAACAAACAAACAAAAATTAAAAAAATAATATTAAAAAACTTTTTTTTATTTAATAAAAAAAACAAATAAACTTTTTAAAAAAAATATTTTTTCTAATAAAAAACAGTTACACTAATTATCTTCGTCATCGGATACAATTTTTTGTTTTCTTGGTTTTTTTGTTGGAGGCTCTTCGTTTAACGAAACCGCGATTTGATTCATTACTGCATTTGCATTTTTTAGTTTTTCGTCAATAATGACACACTCCATCTCAGTCGAGTTGGCTGTTTCATACTCAAAATGATAGAAATGCATCTGCTCAAGACTTCCTACCTCTATATTTAAATACTCATCGCTTGTTTTCAATTGTACACCTTTTAGTACAAAGTATTCACCATAAACTTCATTTTGGTATTTGCGCAATTCGGGCAAAAATAAACTAATGTTTTTAGCATTTACTTTTTTTTTCAAATCCATGCGGAAAAATTGATCTCTTACTACAAAAACCGTTTCTCCTTTTTTATTAACACGAGTCACGTTAGGATAATGTGCGCGTAAAAAAAACTGTCCCACCAGTGAATTGTTTATCAGTTTAACTTGACTAGGATTAACCAATATGCGCTTGTTGAAGTCGCTGTTATCACAAAATATCCATGTCTTTTTCATCTGGTCATACTGACATACAAGACGCACTGTTGCTAAAAAATAAGTGGACATGTTCTTAAAGTCGACATCTGAAAACTGATAAATACCAGGAGCATAGCAATCGCTTGTAATAAATTTCGCTGTCTTTCCAGTCAGCTCAAAGCCTTGTATTTTTTCGTTTTCCATTTTTTTTTGAACACCTCTGAGTTTTTTGCTTCAAATGTTTTTATGATTTTTTATTGCCAAAAGTGACCCTTTTTATAGGTTTTTTTTTAAATCAATAACGCCAATTTTTGTCAACATCAATTTTTTTATCTCACCGTACTTTTTTTAAAACAATATTATCTCTCAGTAGTTTTTTAAAAAAATTAATTCATTTTGTAACATAACTCCTATGTCAGTTGACTATTTTGCGTCAGTTGACTATTTTTGACTATTTTTATTTCGAAATAATAGTCTCAACACTTGACTTTCATTTTCATAATTCTTATTAATCTCGCCGTTTTTTTCTCTACAAAAATATTATCACACAGTCGTCAGATGACTATCATTTATTTTTTTCTACTTTCATCTTTACGACATCCATATTTTAAAAATGTAAAATGTTTGCCAATTTTTTTTTCTCACAACAGTGACTTTTGCTTATGTAAACATTTTTATTTAACTTGCAAAAGTAAACATGAAAGCGAAAATTGTTGCGGCTTGTGTTTTCTTAAACATTTTTTTATTTGCTCGCCTTCTTAAGTATTTACGTCATTGGTTCGTATAAAAACAACACAATTTAAAAAAAAAAAACAAAGGGGGTAAAAAATGAACGAAGATCAAGAAAAAGCTTATGTTGCACTGTTAAACAACCAAAATGTTTTTCTAACAGGAAAGGCTGGCACAGGAAAATCATTTACAATCAATATCATCTACGAACGTTTTATAAAATCAAAAAAAAACATATGTATAACGGCAAGTACGGCTATCGCTGCGCAAATGTATTCCGATGCAAGCACTGTTCACTCGTTTGCTGGCCTCGGCTATCGTCTAGAATCCGTAGAAACCATTTTGAAAAATATGACAGACGTCGTAATAGAACGTTTAAAAAATGTTCAAATTTTGGTTATAGACGAAATATCAATGTTACCAGTACACGTGCTAAAAACATTAAATATGATTTTAAAAAACATTAAAAAATCACATCGTCTATTTGGAGGATGCGTATTGCTCGTTGCCGGAGATTTTTACCAGCTGACGCCTGTTGGCGAAGAAACATTGTTATTCGAAGACCCTTTCTGGAACGAATGCGAATTTGTTAATGTAGAACTTGTGAAAAACTTTAGACAAAACAAAGACCTCATCTTTCAAACGCATTTGAACAACGTGCGTGAGGGCATCTTTTGCGAATCCACTTTGGCTTTTTTTAGGAAAAGGCTAGAACCTGCCGATAAACATTTAGATCCGAGTTACACAAGGTTGTTTATGTTTAACAAGGATCGAATTGCACACAACGAGGAATATTTAAAAAAAACAAATTCACCCTATTTTATATTTGACAGCGAAATAAAAACATTTAACAATTTTAAAATCAACGAAAAATGGCCATTTAAAACGCCTCAAAATGTAACTTTAAAAAAAGGAGTACCAGTTATTTGTGTTCGCAATATATCCGAGCTTGGTATTGTCAACGGCACGCAAGGCGTTGTAAAGTCAGTGAACCTAGAGCGAGTCGTCATTATGGTAGACGAACAACGAATTGTAATCACACCTCAAACAGAAATGCTGTACGACTGTAAAAGAAATGTAATAGCCGAATGCAAAGGAATGCCGCTTGTGTTAGCCTATGCGCTCACTATTCACAAAGTGCAAGGTCTCACTCTTTCTAATGTAGTTATTCATTTAACGAGAAATCAATTTACGTGGCATTTGTTTTATGTAGCTTTGTCGAGAGCGCAAACACGCAAGAGTGTATACATTATTGCTCAGCCGTCTTTTTTTCAAACTTTTTAAAAATATATTAATATACATTCAGCTGTAAAAAGTTTTTATTCAAATTTAATTAAACCTACGCCTGAAGAAAATGATTATAAAAAACGCATTAAATTACAAATGTGAAAAAAACGTATTAAATTACAAATATGTGATTTGTTTGTTTTTTTAAAAAATTGTATTTTGATTTTTTTAAAAAAATGTAAATTGATATCATAAAAAAAATGTTTACTCTTTTTTTTAAAAAATAAAAAAAAAACATTATATGTATTTGCAATTTAATTGAAAAATATATTTTTTTATTAAACTTTTTTATATATATTCAGATTTTTTTGTCGAATTTTATTTGGCTTAGTTAAACCTTTTTTTATTTTGAATAGAAGTTAGAAAAAAATGGATGAACATAGTTTTAAACACATTCTTACTGCACAATTAAAAAAAGAAATAGAGAAATATCGAGTGCGAGGTAAAGGAGAAACTTTATATCGAAATGAACATGTTTATGAATGGTATGAAGATGAATATAATTGGCGTAAATATGAAGATGATTATTATTCAGCTTGGTATCGCAAAGAGTTACAAAAAAAACACTAAAAGAAGTAAAGAAAAAAAATTTGAACAAGAAGAAGTTTAATTTTTTTTAAAATAATTTTTTTTTAAATATTATATATTCTTAAATACCTATAGAGTCGTTAATTTGTTATAAATTTCGCGGTTACAAATTAAAAAAATTTTTTTGTTGAATTTTTTTGGATTATTTAAACCTTTTTTTTTTAATTTAGAATAGTATTACAAAAAAAATAATTAGAAAAAATGAAAACTTTGCAAGAAATTATCAAAACTAAACTAGCCATGGACTACTATCATCAACACGTTGCAACACCTTTTTGTGGCTATTTTATTGATCAACATTCTAATAACATTTGCGCATTATTTCGTTTATCTGCTTATGTTGATTTTATTAAAAGTTTACGCGAACATGACTTTTATGAAATGCAATTTTTATGTGGTGAATTAATTAAGTCATATGAAACTCTCATTCAACAAGATTGGTTAATTTATCATTGGTTAAACAACAAGTATCAACAAGATTTGGCGATTAAACCAGATCCAAATTTTATAATTAATCTTAAAAAACTTATGGTTTTCATAACACGTTGCATTTTCTATATAGAAAATAAATTTTTTATATGCCCAGATTTTATTTTTAAATATAGCGTTCCAACAAACGTTATTTTTAAGAAATGGTATTTTGATTTTTTTTTTAAATATATTTTTCCAAAATATTATTCAATGTAATTTTTTATTGAAATATTCACATCATTAATATTTATCGTTTTGTTTGCGCGTGCGTTTTGTTTGTTTTTAAAAAAAATTGTTTTATTTGTGTTATTTTCGCCCCTGCCTCCTAACCCCCCTGATTACACCTATTTTCACACACACTGATTACGCACCTGCTTATCCACCTGATTACGCCTATTTTCACACGCACTGATTACACCCAATAACATTGATTTTTTAACCTACCTGCTTATCACTTGATTTATGTTTTTATATTTTTCCACCCTACACCCCTGCCTTCCACCCTGACACCTACCTACACCCTAACCCTCCTAACTCTCTAACCCAAGTTTCTTTCCCTAACCCTCTAACCCAAAGTTTTATTTTTTTATTTTTTGAAAAATCCCCCCCCTCTTTTTTTTATTTTTTATACCACCACCCCCCCCTTTTTTAATTTTTATAAGAAGAGAAACACTTTTCTTCTTATTTTTTTTTTTTTAAAAAAATTATTGTCTATACGTATCATCACATGTTTAGATATTATAAATTTCTTAGTCAAATATTAAACTAAGGCAAGATATAGAATTTTCTAAGAACTAAATTTTTACACTAATATAAGGCTAGTTCATTAAAGCAAAATCTTTAACAAAAATAAAATGGAGACCTGCCTAAACCAAACCCTTAGTCGCTACATGTTTTGAATTAATAAAAATCTTAGTCAAATATTACTCTAAGGCAAGATATAGAATTTTCTAAAAACAAAAATTTTACACTTCTTATAGGCTAGTTTGTAAAAACAAAACTTCTAACGAAAACGTAACTGTTTAGAAGATATAAATATCTTAGTCAAATATTACTCAAAGGCTAGATACAAAATTTTCAAAGAATTCAATTTATACACTTCTTTTAGGCTAGTTCACTAAAACAAAATCTTCAAACGAAAACTAAAATGGTGACCTGCCCAAACATAACCCCTAGTTGTTGCATGCTCTAAAACATGTAGCCACAAATTCCGCAATAGAATGTTATCTCTAAATCACGTGACCTATAGCTTATAAATTTTTAACATAATCGCATGCACTTATTCAACGCTATTTCAAGAAAACAAAATATTGTCTTTAAATCAAAACGACAATAGAGACCTGTCCAAACCAAACCCTCAGTTGCCGCATGTTCTAAAACCTTTAATAACAACAAGTATTATCGATTTGACAATACAAGACTCACTCTGAAGTAATAAATCTTCCTATTGAAGTACCTTTCAGTAAAGATACAAAATATTCACAGAAAGAAAATTCTACACTTCTTTCAGGCTAGTTCACTAAAACAAAATTTTTAAACAAAAAATAAAAATGGAGACCTGCCCAAACCAAACCCTCAGTCGCTACATGACTAAAATCAATTAATGTCAAATAATGTCAAAAATTACTCTAAGACAAGATATAGAATTTTTTAGGAACTAAGTTTTGACACTTCTTTAGGGCTAGTTTATTAAAAGAAAATCTTTAAAAGAAAACTAAATAAGAGACTTGCCCAAATCAAACCCTTAGTTGCTACATAATTAGAATCAATAAATATCTTAGTCACTTATCACTCTAAGGCAAGATAAAGAGTTTTCTAAGAACTAAAATTCCATATTTCTTTAAGGCAAGATCATTAAAACATATCTTTAAACAAAAACTAAAATGGAGAACTGCCCAAATCAAACCCTCAGTCGCTACATGTTTCGAAATTATAAATATCTTAGTCAAACATTACTCTACGGAGAAATAAATTTTTTCCAAGAAATAAAGTTCTACAATTCTTATAGGCTTATTTACTTAAACTAAATTTATTAAACGAAAACTAAAATGGAGACCTGCCAAAACCAAACTCTCAGTGTCTGCATGTTCTAAAACCTATAGACACAAAATCCGCTTTAGAAAGACATCTCTAAATCACGTGACGTATAGCTTATAGATTTTCAAAGACTTCTTTGAATAAAGAGTTTTTTATCTAAGCAAGACTCACTCTAAATTAATAAATATTTTAATCGAAAAACCTTTAAGGTAAGATACAAAATTTTAAAAGAAAGATAATTCTACACGACTGTTAGGCTAGTTAATTAAAAAAAATTTTTTAAACATAATCGCATGCACAATTGCCAAAATCCAGAAAAGATATAAAAAGTTTTATGTAATAATATTATGCACTTATTCTACGCTATTTCAAGAAAACAAAAACTAAAATGAAGACCTATCCAAACAAGTCCCTTATTCGCTGCATTTTTAGAATCAATAAATATCTTAGTCAAAAATTAAATTAAGACGAGATATTGAATTTTCTAAGAACTAAAATTCTACACTTCTTTGAGGCAAATTAATTAAAACAAAATCTTTAAACGAAAACTAAAATAAAGAACTGCCTAAACCAAACTCTCAGTCGCTACATGTTTAGAATTAATAATATCTCAGTCAAATATAACTCTAAGGCAAGATATAGAATTTTTTAACTAAAATTCTTCACTTATTTTAGGCTAGTTTGATAAAACAAAATCTATTAACGAAAACTAAAACGAAATCCTGCCAAAACCAAACCCTTTTTTATTTAGCAGGTCTCATTTTTAATTTTCGTTTCATAATTTTGTTGAAATTAACTAGCCTAGAAGAAGTGTAGAATTTTAATTCTAAGATAGTTCTATATATTGTCTCAGAGTAATATTTGACTATTTATTAATTCTAAACATGTAGCGACTGAGGGTTTTTTGTTTGGGCTGGTCTCCATTTAAGATTTTGTTTAAAGATTTTGTTTAAATGAACTAGCCTAAAAGAAGTGTAGAATTTTCTTTGAATATTTTGTATCTTGCCTTAAAGGTATTTTGATTAGAACAATTATTTTTCAGAATGAGTCTTGCCTAGATAAAAAAACTCTTTAGGCGGTAAAACTGGTCGTTTATCATAAGTTTGTCACGTGGTCTTGTGATGTCAAATCGATAATACTTGTTGTTATTAAAAGTTTAAGAACATGCAGCGATTGAGGGTTTGGTTTAGGCAAGTTTTTACTGTCGTTTAGATTTTAAGATATTTTTTTGTTTTCTTTAAATAGCGTAGAAAAATTACATAATACTAACACTTAAAACTTTCTATATTTTTCTTGGATCATGGTAAATGCATCAGCGATTTTATTGGAAATCAATACAATTTAGGTCACGTGGTTTAGTGATATGATTATATAACGGCTTTTGTAACTAATGGTTTTTGAGCATGCAGCGACAAGGGATTTGGTTTGGACATATCTCCATTTTTATTTTATTTCAAAGATTTTGTTTTAATGAACTAGTCTTAAAGGGGCTAGTGGTCTGGTCTCCGTTTTAGTTTTTGTTTAAAGATTTTGTTTTAATGAATAAGTCTTCAAGAAGTGTAGAATTTAATTTTATAGAAAAATCTATATCTTGCCTTAGAGTAATTTTTGCCTAAGATATTTATTCATTCTAAACATTTAGCAACTGAGGGTTTGGTTTGGGCAGGTCTCAATTTTAGTTTTTGTTTAAAGATTTTGTTTTAATAAACTATAGTTTATTAAAACAAAATCTTTAAACATCTTTTTGGCTATAGCCTAAAAGAAGTGTTGAATTTAAGTTCTTAGAAAATTCTATATCTTGCTTTAGAGTAATATTTGATTAAGATATTTATTAATTCTAAACATGAAGCGACTGAGGGTTTTGTTGGTGCTGGTCTCCATTTTAGATTTGGTTTAAAGATTTTGTTTAAATGAATTCGCCGAAAAGAAGTATAGAATTTTTTTTCTTTGAATATTTTGTTTCTTGTCTTTAAGGTATTTTGATTAGAACAATTATTTTTTCAGAGTGAGTCTTGCCTAGCTAAAAAACTCTTTAGGCGGTAAAACTGGTCGTTTATCATAAGTTTGTCACGTGGTCTTGTGATATCAAATCGATAATACTTGTTGTTATTAAAGGTTTATGAACATGCAGCGATTGAGGGTTTGGTTTAGACAGGTTTTTATTGTCGTTTTGATTTTAAGGTATTTTTTTGTTTTCTTGAAATAGCGTAGAAAAAGTGCATAATATTAAAACTTAAAACTTTCTATATCTTTCTTGGATCATGGTAAATGCACCTGCGATTATATTGGAAGTCAATACAATTTAGGTCACGTGGTTTAGTGATATCATTATATAACGGCTTTTGTAACTTATGGTTTTTGAGCATGGAGCGACAAGGGATTTGGTTTGGACAAATATCCATTTTTGTTTTCTTTTAAAGATTTTGTTTTAATGAACTAGTCTAAAAGAAGTGTAGATTTTTAGTAATTAGAAAATTTTATATCTTGCTATAGAGTAATATTTGACTAAGATATTTGTTATAAAGAAGTGTAGAACTTTAGTTCTAAGAAAATTCTATATCTTGCTATAGAGTATTATTTGACTAAGATATTTATTATAAAAAATATAACTTTTTGTTAACAACAGTCATAGACATTGCGCATAAAACTAGAATTAAATACTAAAATAACTTAAATATAACAAAAGTGCACACAAAAATAAGCGCTTAAGAGAAATCGATCTCTAATCGCCAGGCGACAAGGCAAAATTTAAGCCATACGACTACACTGAACATATCTATGTCGATGTAAATTTTTATTATATACTTCGTGTTTTACGATGCGCAATTATAATGAAAGAATAATTTATTATCGGGTCATTAATTTAGACAAAACTTTAAAAATCAGGTTTTTGATTCTATTATCTACCGTTATATACTAAAAACAATTAAAAGTTACAACTAAGTTATTACTAACTTAAAATTCGGAAGTGTCAGAGTGTCAGGGCACATATAGAACAACTTAAACATGTAAAACAGGCAGGAAGTGTACACACATCCACTGACTAAATAGGTAGAACATGCAGGAAATGTACATACATTGACTGACTAAATAGGTAGAATATGCAGGGTGTGTTCATACATCAACTAAAGTTTTCGGTTTGGGCAGGCAATAAATTAAAAAAATAGTTTTTGTTAAAAAGTGTTGCAGAAAGGTTTATTTTATTTTTATAAAATAAATTTCAAAAATTTGAAGAAACCTTATCGACTGCAGCCTCCCCAAGGAGGCCGAGGAGGCCACTTTAGTTGCTTTAACCCCCTCTCTTAACTCTTTACCACCAAAATACGAACCTTAATGAATATGAACACAAATAAACCTCTGTTGGTTACTAGTAATAATTATCGCAATATATTGTTGTTACTTCCATATTTACACTATATTTACACTACTTTACATCTTTTCAGATTTTTCTTTTTTGCAAGGAAATCACCATAATAATAACAATATAATAACCAAAAATAGCATAATATAAAAGCGTCAAACTTTAAGTATAACAACCTGCAAACCTTGCGAATACAGATTGAAAATTTTTTGTCCTACAAAACTATTTAACTCAGATACAAAATAAAATTATTGTAAGGTTGCCTTAGAACTTGACTTAACTAGTTAAAAAAATTATGAGAAACAAGATAAAGTATGATATAAAAGTGAGTGAGATAAAATATATTTGATGAGATAGAAGATAGTTAATGAGATAAATACTTACTTCTTATTGTGAGCAAATTGGCTCCATATTTCCAGCACAATTCCATCAAAGTCATGAAGCTCAATAAAATCAACAATTTTTGTAACAAGCAAAAGAAGACTTTTTTCTTTGCTAAACAATGCTTGAAGATCTGAGACTGACCACTTTTCAAATAATATTCTTGGTAATACTTTTGACAGACCTCCACTTAATCTTTTTATATCTTTAATCCAATTATTATCTATATCATGTGCCCCTGTAATAAAATATTTACCAGGAGAAGAAGTTTTGATTTGCAACCAAACAGGAGATATATGAGTGACCTTTGGAAACATTTTTGCTACATCGTAGCCATTACTGTTCCACTAAATTAGAGAATAATAAGGTATAATATAAATAAAATACTTTATCTTATAAATAACTTTAACAAAAGTTATAATTTACAATTATTATTTTTGACATAAAAAGTAAAATTAGTATTTAATAAATTTTAACAAATTTTAAAAATATTAATTTTACATAACAAAAATTATCTCCTTAAAACAATATTATAAATATTCTACGATTTTTGAAATCTAAGTAGGGGAGACCGGGGCTAGTTGACTCGGTTTTTACTCTATGAGCTCTGCAGTCCTAACGGAACATTTTTTTGAAAATATAAAAGTGTAGTTTCAAAGAGTATGAATTTGAGTAACTTATAAAAATTGCACTCATTTTCAAAAAAAATATTTTGGGGCCTTTCTAGGCCCTCAAAAAAAAAAAAAAAAAATTGCGCTAACTTATCCCACCCTGGAGTAAGTTGCTTATACTCAAGGGGTAAGTTGACTCGCAATAATAAAAGCTAAAATTAAAGGTCCTATTTAAGTGTATTCCAATAATATTTTAAACCCCGCCCCTTTTTTTTAAAGGAGTCATAGCTGAAATATACTTTTATCAATATCATCAAACTTTTGGATCAAGTCATTGTAACATTTTAAGCAATAGAAAGTAAATACAATTAAAAAATACAGTGAAAAAACAAAACAGTGTTCCCAATTTATGGTTATACAATAAGAATTAAAACTTATATTGTTTTATTACATGAATATTTTTAACTAATGGAGTTTCAAATCGGCTAGCAGCAATTATTGCAAATGAAAAACAAAGATTTTCCGATTATACATGACTTGTGAGCACACATTGGGTGTGTCGTACAAATTTATTTCCCGCATAAATTTATTTCCGTGGCGCAAGTTTTGGTTACTAAGTAAATAATATTACGCGGCTTACGCATAAAATTGTTTCCCGACATAAATTTATTTCCGATGTGGAAATAAATTCGCAGAACATTCTACAGCAACTAAATATACAATAGTAATCAAAAATTTACAGTGGGTGGCCATTGAAATAGGGCCATCACGTTTTTTGTTATATTGTCAGCATTAGTTCACCTTTCAAACGTAAAACTCATAATTTTTCATAATTATTTACGATATTATTACAAATTATTGTGAAGGCAACACTATTTTGTTGCTAGCAACATTTTATTTTGCATGTTTTGACAAGAAAAACCGTGAAGTTGTGTTCAGTTACCAT